CTTGTTTAAATACTTAGTATTATAGCGTGGGCCGCTTGTTTAAATACTTATTATTATAGCGTGGGCCGCTTGTTTAAATACTTATTATTATAGCGTGGGCCGCTTGTTTAAATACTTATTATTATAGCGTGGGCCGCTTGTTTAAATACTTATTATTATAGCGTGGGCCGCTTGTTTGAAAACTTATTATTATAGCGTGGGCCGCTTGTTTACATACTTATTATTATAGCGTGGGCCGCCTGTTTAAATACTTATTATTATAGCGTGGGCCGCTTGTTTAAATACTTATTATTATAGCGTGGGCCGCTTGTTTAAATACTTATTATTATAGCGAGGGCCGCTTGTTTAAATACTTATTATTATAGCGTGGGCCGCTTGTTTAAATACTTATTATTATAGCGTGGGCCGCTTGTTTAAATACTTATTATTATAGCGTGGGCCGCTTGTTTAAATACTTATTATTATAGCGTGGGCCGCTTGTTTAAATACTTATTATTATAGCGTGGGCCGCTTGTTTAAATACTTATTATTATAGCGTGGGCCGCTTGTTTAAATACTTATTATTATAGCGTGGGCCGCTTGTTTAAATACTTATTATTATAGCGTGGGCCGCTTGTTTAAATACTTATTATTATAGCGGCCACCATAAATAAAAGCGTGGGACGCTTGTTTAAATACTTATTATTATAGCGTGGGCCGCTTGTTTAAATACTTATTATTAAAGCGGCCACCATAAATAAAAGCGTGGGCCGCTTGTTTAAATACTTATTATTATAGCGTGGGCCGCTTGTTTAAATACTTATTATTATAGCGTGGGCCGCTTGTTTAAATACTTATTATTATAGCGTGGGCCGCTTGTTTAAATACTTATTATTATAGCGTGGGCCGCTTGTTTAAATACTTATTATTATAGCGTGGGCCGCTTGTTTAAATACTTATTATTATAGCGTGGGCCGCTTGTTTAAATACTTATTATTATAGCGTGGGCCGCTTGTTTAAATACTTAGTATTATAGCGTGGGCCGCTTGTTTAAATACTTATTATAGCGTGGGCCGCTTGTTTAAATACTTATTATTATAGCGTGGGCCGCTTGTTTAAATACTTATTATTATAGCGTGGGCCGCTTGTTTAAATACTTATTATTATAGCGTGGGCCGCTTGTTTAAATACTTATTATTATAGCGTGTGCCGCTTGTTTAAATACTTATTATTATAGCGTGGGCCGCTTGTTTAAATACTTATTATTATAGCGTGGGCCGCTTGTTTAAATACTTATTATTATAGCGGCCACCATAAATAAAAGCGTGGGCCGCTTGTTTAAATACTTATTATTATAGCGTGTGCCGCTTGTTTAAATACTTATTATTAAAGCGGCCACCATAAATAAAAGCGTGGGCCGCTTGTTTAAATACTTATTATTATAGCGTGGGCCGCTTGTTTAAATACTTATTATTATAGCGTGGGCCGCTTGTTTAAATACTTATTATTATAGCGTGGGCCGCTTGTTTAAATACTTATTATTATAGCGTGGGCCGCTTGTTTAAATACTTATTATTATAGCGTGGGCCGCTTGTTTAAATACTTATTATTATAGCGTGGGCCGCTTGTTTAAATACTTATTATTATAGCGTGGGCCGCTTGTTTAAATACTTAGTATTATAGCGTGGGCCGCTTGTTTAAATACTTATTATAGCGTGGGCCGCTTGTTTAAATACTTATTATTATAGCGTGGGCCGCTTGTTTAAATACTTATTATTATAGCGTGGGCCGCTTGTTTAAATACTTATTATTATAGCGTGGGCCGCTTGTTTAAATACTTATTATTATAGCGTGTGCCGCTTGTTTAAATACTTATTATTATAGCGTGGGCCGCTTGTTTAAATACTTATTATTATAGCGTGGGCCGCTTGTTTAAATACTTATTATTATAGCGGCCACCATAAATAAAAGCGTGGGCCGCTTGTTTAAATACTTATTATTATAGCGTGTGCCGCTTGTTTAAATACTTATTATTAAAGCGGCCACCATAAATAAAAGCGTGGGCCGCTTGTTTAAATACTTATTATTATAGCGTGGGCCGCTTGTTTAAATACTTATTATTATAGCGTGGGCCGCTTGTTTAAATACTTATTATTATAGCGTGGGCCGCTTGTTTAAATACTTATTATTATAGCGTGGGCCGCTTGTTTAAATACTTATTATTATAGCGTGGGCCGCTTGTTTAAATACTTATTATTATAGCGTGGGCCGCTTGTTTAAATACTTATTATTATAGCGTGGGCCGCTTGTTTAAATACTTATTATTATAGCGTGGGCCGCTTGTTTAAATACTTATTATTATAGCGTGGGCCGCTTGTTTAAATACTTATTATTATAGCGTGGGCCGCTTGTTTAAATACTTATTATTATAGCGTGGGCCGCTTGTTTAAATACTTATTATTATAGCGTGGGCCGCTTGTTTAAATACTTATTATTATAGCGTGGGCCGCTTGTTTAAATGCTTATTATTATAGCGTGGGCCGCTTGTTTAAATACTTATTATTATAGCGTGGGCCGCTTGTTTAAATACTTATTATTATAGCGTGGGCCGCTTGTTTAAATACTTATTATTATAGCGTGGGCCGCTTGTTTAAATACTTATTATTATAGCGTGGGCCGCTTGTTTAAATACTTATTATTATAGCGTGGGCCGCTTGTTTAAATACTTATTATTATAGCGTGGGCCGCTTGTTTAAATACTTATTATTATAGCGTGGGCCGCTTGTTTAAATACTTATTATTATAGCGTGGGCCGCTTGTTTAAATACTTATTATTATAGCGTGGGCCGCTTGTTTAAATACTTATTATTATAGCGTGGGCCGCTTGTTTAAATACTTATTATTATAGCGTGGGCCGCTTGTTTAAATACTTATTATTATAGCGTGGGCCGCTTGTTTAAATACTTATTATTATAGCGTGGGCCGCTTATGTAAATACTTATTATTATAGCGTGGGCCGCTTGTTTAAATACTTATTATTATAGCGTGGTCCGCTTGTTTAAATACTTATTATTATAGCGTGGGCCGCTTGTTTAAATACTTATTATTATAGCGTGGGCCGCTTGTTTAAATACTTATTATTATAGCGTGGGCCGCTTGTTTAAATACTTATTATTATAGCGTGGGCCGCTTGTTTAAATACTTATTATTATAGCGTGGGCCGCTTGTTTAAATACTTATTATTATAGCGTGGGCCGCTTGTTTAAATACTTATTATTATAGCGTGGGCCGCTTGTTTAAATACTTATTATTATAGCGTGGGCCGCTTGTTTAAATACTTATTATTATAGCGTGGGCCGCTTGTTTAAATACTTATTATTATAGCGTGGGCCGCTTGTTTAAATACTTATTATTATAGCGTGTGCCGCTTGTTTAAATACTTATTATTATAGCGTGGGCCGCTTGTTTAAATACTTATTATTATAGCGTGGGCCGCTTGTTTAAATACTTATTATTATAGCGTGGGCCGCTTGTTTAAATACTTATTATTATAGCGTGGGCCGCTTGTTTAAATACTTATTATTATAGCGTGGGCCGCTTGTTTAAATACTTATTATTATAGCGTGGGCCGCTTGTTTAAATACTTATTATTATAGCGTGGGCCGCTTGTTTAAACATTTATTATTATAGCGGCCACCATAAATAAAAGCGTGGGCCGCTTGTTTAAATACTTATTATTATAGCGTGGGCCGCTTGTTTAAATACTTATTATTAAAGCGGCCACCATAAATAAAAGCGTGGGCCGCTTGTTTAAATACTTATTATTATAGCGTGGGCCGCTTGTTTAAATACTTATTATTATAGCGTGGGCCGCTTGTTTAAATACTTATTATTATAGCGTGGGCCGCTTGTTTAAATACTTATTATTATAGCGTGGGCCGCTTGTTTAAATACTTATTATTATAGCGTGGGCCGCTTGTTTAAATACTTATTATTATAGCGTGGGCCGCTTGTTTAAATACTTATTATTATAGCGTGGGCCGCTTGTTTAAATACTTATTATTATAGCGGCCAACGCTTTTATTTACAGTGATATAACTAGTAGTGCATAAATATTTTCGATTTGCACCCCCCCCCCCAAACTTTCGATTTGCACACCCCCCTTAAACTTTCGATTTGCACCCCCCCCCCCCAAACTTTCGATTTGCATACCCCCATTAAACTTTCGATTTGCACACCCCCCCTTAAACTTTCGATTTGCACACCCCCCTTAAACTTTCGATTCGCATACCCCCCTTAAACTTTCGATTTGCACACCCCCCTTAAACTTTCGATTTGCACACCCCCCTTAAACTTTCGATTTGCACACCCCCCTTAAACTTTCGATTTGCACACCCCCCTTAAACTTTCGATTTGCACACCCCCCTTAAACTTTCGATTTGCACACCCCCCTTAAACTTTCGATTCGCACACCCCCCTTAAACTTTCGATTTGCACACCCCCCTTAAACTTTCGATTTGCACACCCCCCTTAAACTTTCGATTTGCACACCCCCCTTAAACTTTCGATTTGCACACCCCCCCCCCCCCAAACTTTCGATTTGCACACCCCCCCCCCCCCCAAACTTTCGATTTGCACCCCCCCCCCAAACTTTCGATTTGCACCCCCCTCAAACTTTCGATTTGCTATTTTTCGCCTTGGTGTCACCCCCTTAAATGGTGTCACCATGTGCGATCCGCACCCTCCGCCCCCCCCCTCGCTACGCCAATGATCTATATCTATCTATCTGTCTGTCTATCTATATATTACTATATATGTGTGTTTGTAAAAATAATAAGATAATGACTCACATTACTGTTGGAAGAATTTCTCAATTAAAGATTCAAATATTAGCAAGTATGTTTTTGCAACGTACTCTTTCAATAAATGTCTTAAGGCTGACGTACAGCATGATGGCGTCACACTTTTACCGCCCTTTTCAAAATATCAAGTTAGTGTTAGTGTTAGCCATACAACCGTACCTTGCGTATAGGAAAACTTGTCTTGCCTTGAAGATTCTTTCCCCAATCCAAACAGGTTTTCCCATGCGTGAATTACGTCTTTTTTAAAGACACAGTAAAACAAAAAAACTAATAGACCCTGCAAAATATTCAAAGAAAGATGTCACAACGTTGTGAAATGTAAGCTATACCAGGTGACAGATGGTGAGATATATGAATATGACAGGTGGTGAGATATATAAAAGTGACAGGTGGTGAGATATTATAATGTTACAGATGGTGACAATATGAATATGACAGATGGTGAGATATTATAATGTGACAGATGGTGAATGCCCTGACATGAGACTCCGACAGATCTGTAGCCTGTGTGTCGGTCTGTGTGTTGGTCTGTGTTTCGGTCTGTGTGTCGGTCTGTGTGTCGGTCTGTGTGTCGGTCTGTGTGTGTCAGTGTGTCTATATGGGAGTCTTTGTGTTAGTGCGAGCAAGTGTGTGTGTCAGCATATCTATGTGTGTGTCGGTGTGTCTGCATGTGTCATTGTGTCTATGTGTGTCAGTGCAGGGTTTTACTATGTGAATAAGAAAACTTTTTAGTTAGGTGGACGAAATTTCAAAAATAAATATAATATCCTAAATGTATTTTTGAACTTTTGCAATATTACATTTGACGAAAGCGGTACTTCACTCTATTTTTATTTCCCAAAAGACTGTAAAAATCGATAATTTTATATCGTAATAAACTACCCGTTATTCTGTAGGCTTTGGGGTCATCCATAATGACGTCACATTTTATTTGACGCCTTTTATCTTTCCCCTCTAAGTCCCCAATGGGACTTATCGTCAAAAAAAGCCAGACCACACATTTAAAAAGATGCCACACCTCAGACATGTTTTTGTCTTTTAAAAACACCCGGCTGAGCAATGGTCTGACCACACTATCCCTTCACAAGCTGAGGTAACAGAAACAGGTGAACTCTACTTCATTTGCCCCGTTCCCCGTCAAGTCCAGGCAGGCAACTTTAACATTCACATCTAAAAAGAAAACAAACCACTGCTATTAACCTTTTCTTCTTTAAAAACATCGATTTCTTTCTATAATATTTTAGAGCTCGAACCCCTTAGGAATTAGAAGAAAAAAATCATTAAATCTAATTTCGAAATAATAGCACTGAGTTCTACACATTGGCGTTAATTGGGATTTTCCACTGCGAACCATCGGTGTGGGAACATTATTACTTTCTCGTATATACGAAGTATAGAGAAAGTATTATAATCGTGCAAAAAAAAAAATCGAGATTTTTACAAATCTCGACGTTTTACACCTCACTGATACGGAAAAACATATTTTTGCAATCTTGTCCGTATGTCTGTGTGTCTGCCTGTGTGTGTGTGTGTGTAAACACGATAACTTAAGTACCGTTACAGCTAGGTTGATGAAATTTCATATATAGATATTTTATCAAAATCGTAGATCCTGATCAACTTTTGGGCGATTTCCAACAAACGGAAGTGGTACTTTTTCTACTTTGAATTTTTCAAAAGCCTATAACTTGAGTACTATTTCAGACAGATAAATGAAATTTCACATGTATGTAAAAGATCTATATATCTACCTTATATCAAATTTTGAGTAATTTTCGTTGACCGGAAATACTAATTTACGCTATTTCCGATTTCTCACAAAACGAATGCAAATTTATAAAGTATTAATAATATTGCGCACTATTATGCACATTTTGTTTTGGCGTTCGCTTGGTGCGCAATTCTTTTTTCTACTAGATTTTATTCGATTTTTAAAAGTTTAAGTAAACAAAAATCATGTCTATATTCCGAGTTGCCATCAGTGTTTCTTCCAGACTTTTTTCTCCGGGGGGGGGGGGGCACTTGAAATTTTCGGGGGGGGGGGGGCGATAGACTTTCCTCGGGGGGGGGGGGGGCGGACACTGTTAAAAGTATATATTTTCTATATAAATTATATAAATTTCATTTCGTTCGGGGGGGGGGGGGCGGTAAAAATGTTTCGGGGGAGGGGGGGGGGGGCTTCGCCCCCCCCCCCCCCGAAGAGATGCCTGGAAGAAACTCTGGTTGCCATCCCACGTAGAGTTATATTAGAATATTCGAGAAAGTTTAGGGGAGATCACTCCCGGTTTATTTATTTTTTATTTCACTGCATGGGTTTCAGACAGGCAGGTTTTTTTTAAAGTGTCTAATATGCTGTCGACTCATGTTAAATATATATTTAAGTCATTTCATTTAGCGTTTGTAAGAAGGTAAATTAAATCAAAATATCAATTTGAATTGAATAATACCCTAACTTAACCAATTCCATTTCTAAAAATCAAATATTCGAGGACTATAATAGTTAAGTAAAGAAACTCATTTATTTATTGTTGTTATCATTGTTTTCCTTTTTGACTGATGTATTTTGCTTTGGCCTACTTTCCTCCGACAGCTTAAATCTAGTTTATCGGTAGATCTACACATAAAAGTAAGTAGACTATCAAACAGCAAAAAAAAAAAGGGTTGAAAATAGTTTTGGTTGTCATGGAAACCCGAAACAACCTCCGTTATTTTAAATTATTTTGTACTTTTAAAAAAGATAAGGCTTTTTATTTATGCACTTATAACAATTTATTTTAAACGGATTATATTTCAGTATATATTGAAACTTTTACCAACTTTTTGAAATAGCTATTGGTCAGAATTTTACAAGGTCTGAAAAAGCGTACCCTTTTTAGTATTCAAAATTTTCAAAATATGCATATTATTTTTTTCTATGAAAACCATCACGATTCCCTAGAGACAATAGTTTTATTTTTGCATGAACACAATTACTGACAAAATGTTGGGCATTGTGTAACAAAAAAGTAGTAACCTTTTTTTTACTTTCTCGTATATTCGGAGTATAGAGAAAGTCTTGTGATCGTGCAAAAAAAAAACTCTCGACGTTTTACACCTCACTGATACGGAAAAACGTAATTTTGCAATCTTGTCCGTATGTCTGTTTGTCTGTCTGTCTGTCTGTGTGTCCGTGTGTAAACACGATAACTTGAGTACCGTTACAGCTAGGTAGATGAAATTTTATATATAAGTATTTTATCAAAATCGTAGATCCGTATCAACTTTTGAGCGATTCCCGATAACCGGAAGTGGTACTTTTCCTACTTTGAATTTTTCAAAAGCCTATAACTTGAGTACTATTTCAGATAGATAAATGAAATTTCACAAGTAAGTAAAACATCTAATTCTCTACCTTCTGTCAAATTTTGAGTAATTTCCGTTGAGCGGAAGTACTAATTTACGCTATTTCCGATTTCTCAAAAAAAAGCATGTAAATTTATAAAGAACTATTAATATTGCGCACTATTATGAACATTTTATTTGGCGTTCGCTTGGTGCTCAATTCTTTTTTCTATGAGATTCTATTCTATTTTAAAAAGTTTAAGTATTTAAAATTGATTAAAAATCATAACTATGTCCCGAGTTCCCATCCCCTGTTGTTTTATATAAGAATATTCGAGAAAGTTTAGGGGAGATCACTCCCGGCTTTTTATGTTGAAAAACTGTGAACTAAGAAAAACAGCAAAAAGTAATGAAAAGTAGGTCACGAAAATATTATTTCTGTGTAACTTGTAAAGTCGATTGTAAGCTTTGAGTGTTTCCGAGATTATGGAAATTAAGAAATGAGAAATCCAGATTTCCAGTGATGCCAAATACAATACGATGACGGATATAAAACTTTTCTTAGAGAGCTTGTAAGGTTATGAAAAAGTTATTATTTTTTAATTAATAGGGTCATAAAAATGAAGTTTTAAACACATTAAAAAACAATTTCTCCTTAAAGTTATTATTTTCTTAATACTAAAATGGACAAAGTTTGCAAAAAATGCAAGTAACCCATCATGACGATTTTTTTAAATGAGCATATCCCCTTAAATGTGTATGCTACAATCGAATATATAAATCAATTAAATAGCGTATTTAAATAAATGTGTGGAAAAAGAGCATTATTTCTATATAAATACGTATTTTACAGTAATCTAAACATAATGCAGATGCCTTGATCAAGCGGAACAAACAAACAAACAAATATACCAATGTTTTACTTTTTTTTAATAACAGTGTTTCGGGGAACATCCATAAATGATGTCACGTTTGTTTGACAATTTTTATCTTTCCCCTCTCCTTCCCACTGTCACACATCTTCACAAAAAGCCAGACACCACATTCAAAAAGTCAGACACCACATTCAAAAGGACGTCACGCTTTAGACATGTCTTCATCTTTTAAAAAAACGATTTTGGCTGAGCATGGGTCTGACCACACTATCGCTTCATATGCTGAAGTCACAAAAACAGGTTAACACAAGTACACCTTTCATAAAAACCTAATAAAAATAAATCACTTTAAAAACAAGAAGAATACCGTGGAATAGCCGTGGAATAGCCTAAACGGAATCATTTAAGTCACTTAATCAGTGTGTGCCTGTGTTATGTAAAATGTGTCGGATTTTTAGCTAATTAGTTATCTCTTTGCTTTGTCAGTAATATCGTTCAGCGTGTAGTAATGCACATTGCGTTTTGACCAATAACTATTTTATAAATTATTTTTCTCAAACAAGTTCAACATTAATATATAGGCCTATAATTCACGTGAAATGGGTACCGATGGCTAATAGTGATGATAATAGTTATGGATCGTAATAAAAATAGCAAACAGCTGTATCGTTAAAGCTTTAGCCGACAGAAAATGTTGCGTTATAATGCGTTAAACTTGTGAATGGAAGCCGCCATGTTTTTTTGTGAAAAAATAAGTAAATGAATCAAGTGACGTCACTATAAAATAATTGTTCTGAAGTTTAATAATTAAAGTGGTGTTTACACAAATGAATATATCAATAAATTATGTAACGTCTTTAAGGGGCAGATACACCTAGAACGTAGTTATATTACTAAACCATTTACCAAATGACCCGCGCCGTAAGCATACGCCGCTATTTAGTTGTTCGATTTCTACTTTTTAGTAATTCATAATTTGTGAATTCAACACTAACAACGCTGCGACTTAAAATATTTTCTTTAAAACACTATTACTAGTTCGTAAAGGACGGTTATCCTCACCCTTCCTCCTCTCCCCCCCCCCCCCGACCCCGTGAAAGCAGCCGTCCGTGACGACAGTTTAGAGACAACAATGATAAAAACAAGCGGAACGTGTTACCTCCCCGTAATTTCAAATCGTTTAACAACTAAATTATCTCCCTCTAATAGTCGTCACTACATTATATATATATATAATTCTAAGAATTTTTCGAAAATTATTATATAAAATATTATCTATATACTACTAAAAGTCAAGTTTGTTTACATGTTTGAATATTTATTTTTTTGTTTGTTTTTTTTTTGTTTGTTTTTTTGTTTGCCTGATTGACTATTACGCATGGTTGCACTCATCGTGGAGAGCTGTAAAATAGTATGTAGGTAGAGAACATTTTTTGTTTTAAGACAGACTGTTAATCACACATTTATTTAAAGACGTTAATTAATTTATTGATTTATTCATACGTAGAGTAACCCTATTTTTTTAAAAAGTTTAGAACGACCACTACACTCGGCGGGACCGTGACGTCACAGTTTTTTGTTTACTCTTTAGTACAATAAAATGGCGGCGTCTATCGAAGAAAATTGTGTTCCCATTCAAAAGTTTAACGCGTTCTAAATCTAATTTTCTGTCGGTCATAACTTTAACAATACGTCCGTTTGCTGTATTTATTACGTTCCAACACTTATATCAATTTTAAACTGTCTTTTTTCATTTAGTTTTACAATAAATTTCTCTAGATCTAAAGATCAGCTGTCGAAGGAAAGTTATGAATCTAGCCTAGATCTAGCCTAGATCTAGGTCACTAGACTCAATGTAAATTCTAGATCTAGACTTAATGTAAATTCTACATCTAGAATCTATTTCAGGCCTTAATACATCTAGAATCTATTTCAGGCCTTAATTATTTTATATAAATCTTTGTTTGGCTAATTTAAGATAAAATTTAATTTGAAAGTTACTACTACTAGACTTAGATCTAGATCTATGCGCGTAAATCAAGTTGCATAAGGAGACTCAAAGTATAGTATAAAAATTCATTTGTGACGTCACGAGTAAATAGCTAAGTTGGTAGCGTAGTCGGCTCTCATGCGGGTGGCACAGGTTCTAGACCAATATGTCAATGATATTTTTATTTCATTTTTTTTTTAGATGTGAATGATAAAGTTGCCTATCTGAACTTGGCAGGATACAGGGCAGGTGAAGTAGAGTTCATCTGTTTCTTTGTCCTAAGCATATGAAAGGATAGTGTGGTCAGAGACATGCTGGCAAATATTTACCTGTAAAGAATTACAGACAGCGAACAGGTAACTGAAGAGCATGCTGGCAAATATTTACCTGTAAAGAATTACAGACAGCGAACAGGTAACTGAAGAGCATGCTGGCAAATATTTACCTGTAAAGAATTACAGACAGCGAACAGGTAACTGAAGAGCATGCTGGGGCAAATATTTACCTGTAAAGAATTACAGACAGCGAACAGGTAACTGAAGAGCATGCTGGCAAATATTTACCTGTAAAGAATTACAGACAGCGAACAGGTAACTGAAGAGCATGCTGGCAAATATTTACCTGTAAAGAATTACAGACAGCGAACAGGTAACTGAAGAGCATGCTGGCATGTCCGACAGCAAAAAACGCGAAGATCCAGGTCAGACCCAGTAACACCACGAGACTCACAATGGCACGGAAGTTTCCTAGAAAGCTGAAACAACCAAAGTTTATTGGCTCTCAATGATGTGATCGACATCACGTATACAGCCAACCTAAATCACTCAGCCAGCCAAACTCATCCAGCCAACCCAATTCATCAAAACCAACCTTACTCATCTAGCCAAAATACCTCACAAGCCACCCCAACTAATCAGCAAACTCACCTCACCAGCTAACCCACCTCACCCAGCCAACCCCACCTCACCAGCCAACCTAACTTACCAGCCAACCCACATCACCCAGCCAACCCACCTCACCCACCTCACCCAGCCAACCCACCACACCCACCTCACCAGTCAACCCACCTCACCAGCCAACCCACCTCACCCAGCCAACCCAGACAACCCACCACACCCACCTCACCCAGCCAACCCAGACAACCCACCTCACCCAGCCAACCCACCTCACCCAGCCAACCCACCTCACCCAGCCAACCCACCTCACCCAGCCAACCCACCTCACCCAGCCAACCGACATCACCCAGACAACCCACTCACCCACCTCACCCAGCCAACCCACCTCACTCAGCCAACCCACCTCACCCAGCCAACCCGCCTCACCCAGCCAACCCACCTCACCCAGCCAACCCACCTCACCCAGCCAACCCACCTCACCCAGCCAACCCACCTCACTCAGCCAACCCACCTCACCCAGCCAACCCGCCTCACCCAGCCAACCCACCTCACCCACCTCACCCAGCCAACCCGCCACACCCACCTCACCCAGCCAACCCACCTCACCCAGCCAACCCGCCACACCCACCTCACCCAGCCAACCCACCTCACCCAGCCAACCCACCTCACCCAGCCAACCCACCACACCCACCTCACCCAGCCAACCCACCTCACCCAGCCAACCCACCTCACCCAGCCAACCCACCTCACCCAGCCAAGCCCACCTAACAGACTTGCCGCCCGACTCACCGTTTTCTCTCCTGCCTGCTGTGCTGTGTTGCTGTGCTCCGGGCCATCATGGAGAGCTGACGTAAGATCAAACAGAAGACGGTCAAGTTGAAGAGCAGCACCATCACGACCGGGACGACGAAGACGAAATAGAAGGCGGGACTTCTAATCCAGCAGCTGCAGACAAAAACAATGACGGGCCTTGTCAAGAAATAAGGAAGATCCTGATTGGCTAAGCAACTAAAATTTCAAAATTTAATGCATTTTTTGTTTAATTTAACGACTAAGAAAGACGTTTGAATCACCAAAAGCAAATTTCGAGAGACTTTTCCTTTAAATATAAAAATCTCCATACCAATCATTAATCATAACTTCCTGTCGGGAGGTTTAAAACGTAACTGATTGGCGGGTCAAAACAAAATGTCCGAGACCGCCCATTTAGAGTTTGACAATTTTGGGACGGCCCAATTAAATTTGGACCGTTTTAAGCAGGTTTTAGACTTACATTCCACTGGTAAGTTTTCCGTAGGTTTCTGTCTTGTCTATGGCAAGTGTAACGACGACCAAAATTAAGGGGATTCCTTGAAAAGAAACAGCTTCTTAAAAACCATTTTTAGAAATAACAAGCTTTTGTTACAATCTAATCCTTACAATGTTTTTACAAACAACAACGTAGTATCTACAAACAACGTCGCCTACAAATAAGAACGTCGTGTATACAAGCAAAAACATATGACCTGAATGCACCAGAAGAACAAGCTCAAACTTTACTGGAAGTCGTGGTTGAAGGACAGAGCGTTTGGCTGCAAGCCCAAATGTCTCAAGTTCGGAATTGGTTTTGGACTTGTGACTGCCCTCGAGTTCACCCAGCTCTGACGGGTACCTGACTGACTTTGGCGACTGGGCATAGTGCCGATCACACTAGCCCTTCACGTGACAAGGTTAAGAAACATGAACTCTACTTCATCAGCCGTTTGGATCGCTAGGTCTAAAGAGGAATCAGTGAGTGGGTGGGTGGGTGGATGGATAACCTACCCACTTACTCCCGCCCCACACCCCGCCCCACCACCGCACCACCCCCGCCCCACCCCCGCCCCACCCGTACTTACCCCAGCCCACACATGCAGCCTTGATATAGAAGTGAGATATGAAGATGTTGAAGACACGGACCAGCATCAGATACATGTAGTAGGCGTTGACGGCCATCCAGAAAATGGACGAAGTCAACAGATAGTGGAGCACGGCGGCCAGAAACTGACGAGACACGTGATGACCGTAAGCTCACCGGGACAAAACCTTTATACACAACTTTAATCACGAGTTCAATTCTATAAATAGATTTGGTATTTTTTCATTTTGTTTCTGTTTTTGTTTCATTACAAGTAATGTTACTTCTTCCGGTCTAGCTGGGTACCAGTGGTGAAACGATTGTAGAAAAAAAAGTCACAGGAAAAAAAAAACACAGGAAAAAAAACACACAAAAAAAGTCACAGGAAAAAAGTCACAGGAAAAAACGTCACAAATATATATTTGCATGGAATTTGTTAAAACTTTTATGTATTAAATATTCATAGAGTGAAAATTTACTTAGGATTAATTAAATGTAATGTAATGTGTGTGGGTTGTATACGCATGGTAATTTGTATAATTCATCTAAAAATATTATTTAGTATGAATTATGTACATTATGTACATTATGAAGGTTTTCATCGTGGTTTTTTTTTAAATTAAATTACCGTGAAATGGTAAGGTCATCTAACTTACTGCCCTCAACTCATCGCAACAATAGTTATGCTTAGTTCAACCACCTTTTTGCCCATATTTATCAAACTCATTACATAACAAAACTTAGGATCAAAACAGAGAGCCGACAAGGTTCAAAGGCTGTCATTGACGCAAAACTTCAATAGCACAAAATGTGTTCGAACAATGCCTACTGAGGGGAGGCCGACCAGAGAATAGCCTACGTCAAAACATATGCAAAACACAATGATGTGCCTAAATTTCTTTTATAGTTAACTTTTGTTACGTATTTAGTTAAATACGCGGTAGAAAAGTTGAGATTGTTGTGTAAATTATCTTAGAGTATTTATACTTACAATTTTTAAAAACCATAATGCTTTTAACGTCTATAAATAATTTATGCTATTAAAAAATACAACCCACAACAATAAACATACTAAATTTTACAATTCTTAACAAATTAATACAAACATTTCTAAAAAGATTTTTGTGACTTTATTTCTGTGACTTTTTTTCCTAGCAAAAACTGTGACTTTTTTTCTGTTTTTTTTTCCTGTGACTTTTTTTCCCGTTCACCTATCTCCGTATAGGGTGTGCTAGCAACGAATGTAAATACTAGATGGGATAGCTGATAAGCATTCACTTAGGCCCAGTACTTGACCCTATCTACACAGATGTGTTATTCGCGGTTGAATGAACATTGGTAATCTATTACTCATCGGTTCTTCACGCACTATCCAGCGGTGGGGTGGAGGTGCGTGTCTAGCCTCAAGTGTTGTACCCAGTGTTGTGTAGTAGGCTATTATCATAAGGCAATAAACTTGTGTAAGCTACAATTTAAGTAGGGATAGACATTGTATTGTAGTGAAAAGACCGGCTAACAAACCAAAATTGATCTGGTTTGATGATAGCTGTTGTGCGAATACCGCTCGATTGATAGGATGTGTAATACTTAATAGTCATAAATTCATTACCTGTTGTATACATATTTTCTGCTTACATAGAAAAATCTGTCTAAAACTTACAACATAAATCAAAGCGTATTTTATTAGTCAAATGGTTTATCCACATATAACAAGACGTTTTTTTCTGTGCCTTATTCCGCTCTTCTTTTCAAGTTTTCACAACTTTGCATTTTTACTCAAAATTTAACATTCAAATCGCTAAGGCTTTGGAACCCTTTGTCATACAAGACTAAAACATTCCACGTGCATTCAGCATTATACCATCTACAAAACTTTGTACATTACAATAATTTAGGAAATATTGATATTTATGTAGCACCACCCCCTAATTTTAGCACATAAATTTACGTAATAATTTGTATTAAAAATTGAGTACGAGCTATCGCAATGATTAAACGTAGACATGTATAGTTTGGTTTGAGAAACCTAAATCTTTCATCCGCTTTTAAAAATCTCTTATGGGAACAAAGTTATAGCGCTGTAAGTTTTTACATCTTTTCGCGGTTTCCATGGCAACCAGTACTGCTATTGACGGCTATATATTATTTTTGTCTATAGTTTAACAACTATAAACATATGAACTTATTAAACACCCAGAAATGTGTTAAATAAAAATAAACCGAGAGTGATCTCCCCTAAACTTTCTCGGATATCTATATATATATATAATTCTCTTCTAGGAGTCGCTAGATAACAAGCTGTAAACGCGCTCCCTACCTCCCCCACCCCTACATGGTCTGGTGAGCTGTGGTTCACTCTGTTTACAAACAGAGCCGGGTTTAGTGACGACTATTAGGGGCAGATAATTTAGTTTGAAACGATTTTAAACGTAGGGGGGGGGGGGTAACTAAGTGGAGTTTACTTTAACGGAGGGGGGGGGGGGAAGGAGGGGGGGGGTTATCGTCCTTCACGAGCTACTTATAGTGTTTTAAAGAAATATTTTCAGTGGCAGCGTTGGTAGTGTCGAATTCACAAATTATGAATTACTGAAAAGTAGAAAAAAAACAACAACTAAATAGCGGCGTATGTTATGCCGCGGGCCGGCTCGTTCTTATATAAAACAACAGGGGATGGGAACTCGGGCTATAGACATGATTTTTAATCCATTTTAAAAACTTAAAGTTTTAAAAACAGAATAAAATCTCGTAGACAAAAGAATTACACACCAAGTGAACGCCAAATAAAAAAAAGTGCATAATAGTGCGCAATATTATTAGTCCTTTTAAAATTTACATTCGTTTTTTGAGAAATCGGAAGTAGCGTAAATGACTACTTCCAGTCAACGGAAATTACTCAAAATTTAACAGAAGGTAGAGAATTAGATCTTTTACTAACATGTGAAATTTCATTTATCTATCTGAAATAGTACTCAAGTTATAGGCTTTTGAAAAATTCAAAGTAGAAAAAGTACCACTTCCGGTTATCGGAAATAGCTCAAAAGTTGATACGGATCTACGATTTTGATAAAATACTTATATATGAAATTTCATCAACCTAGCTGTAACGGTACTCAAGTTATCGTGTTTACACACGGACAGACAGACAGACAGACACACACAGACATACGGACAGAATTTCAAAGTCCAGTTTTTCAGACTGGATTACGCATAAAACCTCTTAATTTTGATAAATCTGGATTGATATTTTTTGCCCGATTAAAAGAAGTCCTCTATACTTCGGATGAGTTGAAGGACTGAGGTGTAATACGGTGAAAATTGTTAAAATTTCAAGTGATTTTTGTGCACGATTTCAATACTTTCTCTATACTTCGTATACACGAGAAAGTAAAAAAGTCAATCCGTGGTGCCTATCCTTAAAACACCGATTTTTAAAAACACCGATTTCGTCTGAGTGTGGATCTTACTACTTTATCTCTTAATATGCTGTGGTTAAAGAAACAGATGGACTCTCCTCCACCTCCCCCGTGTCCCGCCAAGTCCCGAGAGGCAACTTAATCAGTTACATCTAAAGAGAAGTCACACCTTAAATAATATTTTTTATTTGTGTTAAGTTTAGTTCGGATCAGTTTAGCTTTTAAGCGACTTTTTTTTAAAGGTTTTATTTATGTTTTGTTAGTGTTGTCAAAGTCACATCAAGCTAAGATAAGGCAATATGGAATTGGGGCTTTGTTTTAATAAAAAAAAATAGAATGGGATTTCTGTTTAGTTTGGTTTGTTATAGTTTCAGATTAGGGTGTTTGCTTTAGTTCATAGCTAAGTGTTGTGATATTTATTTAATAAGGAACAGGTTGAAATGCTTCTAAATTTAGATCTATGCATATAAAATATAGTTGGGTAGGCAGGCTATGGGAGACAGACCTGTACCTAGATATGTAGGTATTTGTAGGTGATTTGCGAGATTTCAATATCAGTCCCAAACAGGAAAAAAACAAATCAGTAAAATCACACACTTTACATCCAAGACGACTTTGTAAGATATCAATCTCAGCCCCAAAGACAAAAAATCCGTTGCATAAAAATAACGCCCAACACAGGCTGTAGAGGATTTTCGAGGGTTCATCACGGCGAAGGCGACTGTGGATTAAGCATTCACATAAGTCATTTTAGACGATCATTCGCGTTTTGTCAACTTTAGACTATCATCAACAGTTTTTAGTTTAAAAAAAAAATCATTCTTTATTTATTTGTATCCATCTTTAAATCTACCGATTTAATTCATTCATTCAGTCATTCATTTAATCGCTCCATCATTCACTCACTCCTTCGTTCGTTCGATTTTTCATTCATTCACTGATAAAGTGTGAAAGAGAAAAATGAAATACTGAGAACATATTCGTACCTAAAGATGGTGTAGGACAGGAGGGTGAAAGACAAACCCAGTAATGAAATGGTGCAGCCCGCTTGGGAGATTAATTTCAGCGAGTATATGTTTTCTTCGTCTAATGTTGATCCAGCCAATTGATACACATCCTGCAGAGAGCAACAAAACCTACTAGATATATGGACCAGTAGGGACCAGTAGATCTATGGACCAGTTGGGATAAGTAGAGCTATGGACCAGTAGAGCTATGGACCAGTTGGGATAAGTAGAGCTATGGACCAGTACAGCTATGGACCAGTAGAGCTATGGACCAGTAGAGCTACCGATCAGTAGAGCTATAGACCAATAGAGCTATGGATAGTATAGACGAGATGCCGTTCTATTTGAAGACCGGCTTCAGCTTTGTCCATGTAGCTTCGATTGAGCACCGTCCTCCACCTCTCTCAGATACTGAAGCTGAAGGATAGTTTTAATAAGCTATGTAATCTTATATTCTTTTTGGTCTAATACGTTTTCTGTAACTGCGCAACAATAACAGCTTGAGTGTTTTTACTTGTGCTTTTGTCCGCACTGTGGCTTACATCCCAACCTTATCAGCTTTCCACAGGTCCACAACTCGTTTTAAGTCAGTGTGTAAATATAACTGTACGTACACAGTTAACTCATTTCAGGTTAACGAAAACAAATTTTTACACACAAACACAATCAAGCTAACACACACACACATATAAATACATTTTCTAAGTTTTCTTATTTTCAGTTCATTTAGCAGTTTGTTTTTATAAAGATTTTTATATAATTTGTCTTATTTTCAGTTCATTTAGCAGTTTGTTTTTATAAAGATTTGTATATAATTTGTCTTATTTTCAGCTCATTTAGCAGTTTGTTTTTATAAAGATTTTTATATAATTTGTCTTATTTTCAGTTCATTTAGCAGTTTGTGTTTATAAAGATTTGTATATAATTTGTCTTATTTTTAGTTCATTTAGCAGTTTGTTTTTAAAAAGATTTTTATATAATTTGGATTATTTTCAGTTCATTTAGTAGTTTGTATTTATAAAGATTTTTATATAATTTGGATTATTTTTTTTTAGTCATTCGTAATCTGAGCTAGTGAATGGTTTATTGTAAATTTATTATTTTATTTTGTGCGCGAATGTTGTCCTGGATGACGGCTACGGGACTTCCGGTCAAAGTCAGCATTTAAACCCCAGTGACCGCTAGGGTAATTCTTTTAACCCCACAACCGGTCAAGAATGTTTAGAGTTTTTTTATGAAAAGGGTGTTTGTTGAGTTGCTTTGTTTGGAGTTTTTTTTTATGACTGGGTGTTTGTTGAGTTGCTTTGTTTGGAGTTTTTTATGACTGGGTGTTTGTTGAGTTGCTTTGTTTAGAGTTTTTTTTTATGACTGGGTGTTTGTTGAGTTGATTTGTTTAGAGTTTTTTATGACTGGGTGTTTGTTGAGTTGCTTTGTTTAGAGTTTTTTTTATGACTGGGTGTTTGTTGAGTTGCTTTGTTTAGAGTTTTTTTATGACTGGGTGTTTGTTGAGTTGCTTTGTTTGGAGTTTTTTTTATGACTGGGTGTTTGTTGAGTTGCTTTGTTTGGAGTTTTTTATGACTGGGTGTTTGTTGAGTTGCTTTGTTTAGAGGTTTTTTTTATGACTGGGTGTTTGTTGAGTTGCTTTGTTTAGAGTTTTTTTATGACTGGGTGTTTGTTGAGTTGCTTTGTTTAGAGTTTTTTTATGACTGGGTGTTTGTTGAGTTGCTTTGTTTATAGTTTTTTATAACTGGGTGTTTGTTGAGTTGATTTGTTTAGAGTTTTTTTTATAACTGGGTGTTTGTTGAGTTGATTTGTTTAGAGTTTTTTATGACTGGTTGTTTGTTGAGTTGCTTTGTTTAGAGTTTTTTTTAATGACTGGGTGTTTGTTGAGTTGATTTGTTTAGAGGTTTTTTTTTATGACTGGGTGTTTGTTGAGTTGCTTTGTTTAGAGTTTTTTTTTTATGCCTGGGTGTTTGTTGAGTTGATTTGTTTAGAGGTTTTTTTTATGACTGGGTGTTTGTTGAGTTGCTTTGTTTTGTTTAGAGCTTTTTTATGACTAAAGTTACATTGCAGTTTATTATTGCTTTGTAATATTGATAGCTCCATTTGTTTGTAAATAAACTTGATAAGATTATCTTTTAAAAGATTAAGGTTAGGGTTTAACCAGTCTTGGTTTAGCTAGACTTGCACTGACGGCCCAATCGTTGAGTAGCGTTGTGGTTGATTTAGAGAAGACATTAGGGTTCTAGACACACCCCCTACCAGTCAGGGCTTACAGTAATAAATTAAATTGACCAGAAGCGACACTGGGGGGGGGGCGGCTGCCAGGGATGACGACACTAAGTGGGTAAGCGCCAAAAGGGGTAGAAAAAATCAAAAGCTCATTTTAAGCTGCAGTTTTGAATTATAAACAGTCAAAATTAAGAAATTTAACGACTACAAGCCAACAGACATGCATGAAGACAGACAACAGACATGTATGAAGACAGACAACAGAAATGTAAAAGCACCGACCATAATAAGAGCAAAGTTGGTCATGTGACTACATGAGCAGACAGTTTTTTCCTGGTCGCTCCTCACCACACGACAACCGTCTCTCGCCCACTTTCCTCGCCGTCCATCCTTGTGGCGCAGAGTCGTGTTGATCGCGTCGGTGCGCCAGTACTTACAGGACGGTCCTCTAGTCGTCTAGATAGGAAGAGAACCGTCTCACGCAAAGTCTCAAACAATTATTTATTCATTAACCTAAGTGTAATGAAGTGATTTATTCATTAACCTAAGTGTAATGAATTGATTTATTCATTAACCTAAGTGAAATGAATTGATTTATTCATTAACCTAAATGTAATGAAGTGATTTATTCATTAACCTAAGTGTAATGAATTGATTTATTCATTAACCTAAGTGTAATGAATTGATTTATTCATTAACCTAAGGGTAATGAATTGATTTATTCATTAACCTAAGTGTAATGAAGTGATTTATTCAAAAAGTTAAATGTAATTACTGATTTTTTTTATAAAGCTAAGTGTAATGAACTATTTTTTTCAGAAATTCTCTATAATAATCGTGCGTTTGCTAATAGTGGGAAAGGTCTATTATAATGTTTGCTTTTATATTTATATCTACAAATATTAGAACGGTAAAGCATATGATATAGTACAAAAAGAGTTTTTAGTCCCAGTTTTTTTGTACTTACGTCATTGAAATGATAGAAAGTCATGATGACGTCATCATCTAAATGTTCATTTTGTAGGTGAGGAATTTGAACAGACAAAATGTAGCTGTTGGGCGACTGAGTATAATCTGTCTGGGTAAGTTTAGAAGACACATCATTGGAACACAACAGATATTTATCTCGCATACAACGGATATTCCGTGTAAACTGAGCCACTCAGAGTATACACGTTCATGTCAAGTGTTTTAAATGTTCATTTTTAATTAAACCTTTTATTAACCTAAAGTGTAAGGAATAAAAATGGATTTTACGAATTTAAATAACAATAGCGGTATTAACTTCACTATTTTTTACTTTCTCGTATATACGAAGTATAGAGAAAGTCTTGTAATCGTGCAAAAAAAAAAAAATCGAGATTTTTACAAATCTCGACGTTTCACACCTCACTGATACGGAAAAACATAATTTTGCAATCTTGTCAGTATGTCTGTGTGTCTGTCTGTGTGTCTGTCTGTGTGTCTGTCTGTCTGTCCGTGTGTAAACACGATAACTTGAGTACCGTTACAGCTAGGTTGATGAATTTTCATATATAAGTATTTTATCAAAATCGTAGATCCGTATCAACTTTTGAGTGATTTCCGATAACCGGAAGTGGTACACACACACACACACAGACACACAGACAGACACACAGACATACGGACAAGATTGCAAAATTATGTTTTTCCGTATCAGTGAGATGTGAAACGTCGAGATTTGTAAAAATCTCGATTTTTTTTTTTTTTTTGCACGATTACAAGACTTTCTCTATACTTTGTATATACGAGAAAGTAAAAAATGCGCACACAGAAAATTACACACAGATCGCTCACCAATTATGGCAATGTGTGCTTATGCGTGCAGGCTTGAGTTTTTACGAGCTTGTGTAAACATAGACAGATATATTTCATTTCGTGTCTGTATATTTTAATAGAATAATGAATGCCGCTTCACTTTCGAAACTGCATAGAAAACAAAGTGCTAAGATTTTCTGATCATAGATGCTGTGGACCATAGAATATTAGCTCACACGTAGTTATACCACATTCAGATGTTGTTCACAGGCAGTTTGTCCACAACGAGCGTTGATCACAGGTGATTTGACCATAGGTGATTTGTGCAACTACGTCTACACCGACTACTACATCCACACTTAAATATATACCTACATTTACTGTTACACTTACACGTATACCGACGCCTACTGCCAACATACGAACCCACCTGCCTTCCTGGCTGGCTGTCTATCTGTCTGTCTGTCTGTCTGTCTGTCTGTCTGTCTGTCTGTCTGTCTGTCTGTCTGTCTGTCTGTCTGTCTGTCTGTCTGTCTGTCTGTCTGTCTGTCTGTCTGTCTGTCTGTCTGTCTGTCTGTCTGTCTGTCTGTCTGTCTGTCTGTCTGTCTGTCTGTCTGTCTGTCTGTCTGTCTGTCTGTCTGTCTGTCTGTCTGTCTGTCTGTCTGTCTGTCTGTCTATCCATCCAGCTTATGTAATAACCGATGGACGGATGGTTAGCTTAGGTAATAACTGATGGACGGATGGTTAGGTTAGCTTATGTAATAAATGATGGACGGATGGTTAGCTTATGTAATAACTGATGGACGGATGGTTAGCTTATGTAATAACTGATGGACGGATGGTTAGCTTATGTAATAACTGATGGACGGATGGTTAGGTTAGATTATAGAATAACCGATGGACGGATGGTTAGGTTAGCTTATGTAATAACTGATGGACGGATGGTTAGCTTATGTAATAACTGATGGACGGATGGTTAGCTTATGTAATAACTGATGGACGGATGGTTAGGTTAGCTTATGTAATAACTGATGGACGGATGGTTAGCTTATGTAATAACTGATGGACGGATGGTTAGCTTATGTAATAACTGATGGACGGATGGTTAGCTTATGTAATAACTGATGGACGGATGGTTAGGTTAGCTTATGTAATAACTGATGGACGGATGGTTAGCTTATGTAATAACTGATGGACGGATGGTTAGCTTATGTAATAACTGATGGACGGATGGTTAGCTTATGTAATAAATGATGGACGGATAATTAGGTTAGATTACGTAATAAATGATGGACGGATGGTTAGCTTATGTAATAACTGATGGACGGATGGTTAGCTTATGTAATAAATGATGGACGGATGGTTAGGTTAGCTTATGTAATAACTGATGGACGGATGGTTAGCTTATGTAATAACTGATGGACGGATGGTTAGGTTAGATTATGTAATAAATGATGGACGGATGGTTAGCTTATGTAATAACTGATGGACGGATGGTTAGGTTAGCTTATGTAATAAATGATGGACGGATGGTTAGCTTATGTAATAACTGATGGACGGATGGTTAGGTTAGCTTATGTAATAAATGATGGACGGATGGTTAGCTCATGTAATAACCGATGGACGGATGGTTAGCTTATGTAATAACTGATGGACGGATGGTTAGGTTAGCTTATGTAATAACTGATGGACGGATGGTTAGATTAGCTTATGTAATAACTGATGGACGGATGGTTAGGTGGTTAGCTTATGTAATAACCGATGGACGGATGGTTAGCTTATGTAATAACTGATGGACGGATGGTTAGGTTAGCTTATGTAATAACTGATGGACGGATGGTTAGCTTATGTAATAACTGATGGACGGATGGTTAGGTTAGATTATGTAATAAATGATGGACGGATGGTTAGCTTATGTAATAACTGATGGACGGATGGTTAGGTTAGCTTATGTAATAAATGATGGACGGATGGTTAGCTTATGTAATAACTGATGGACGGATGGTTAGGTTAGCTTATGTAATAAATGATGGACGGATGGTTAGCTCATGTAATAACCGATGGACGGATGGTTAGCTTATGTAATAACTGATGGACGGATGGTTAGGTTAGCTTATGTAATAACTGATGGACGGATGGTTAGATTAGCTTATGTAATAACTGATGGACGGATGGTTAGGTGGTTAGCTTATGTAATAACTGATGGACGGATGGTTAGGTTAGCTTATGTAATAACTGATGGACGGATGGTTAGCTTATGTAATAACTGATGGACGGATGGTTAGGTTAGCTTATGTAATAAATGATGGACGGATGGTTAGCTCATGTAATAACCGATGGACGGATGGTTAGCTTATGTAATTACTGATGGACGGATGGTTAGGTTAGCTTATGTAATAACTGATGGACGGATGGTTAGGTTAGCTTATGTAATAACTGATGGACGGATGGTTAGGTTAGCTTATGTAATAACTGATGGACGGATGGTTAGGTTAGCTTATGTAATAACTGATGGACGGATGGTTAGCTTATGTAATAACTGATGGACGGATGGTTAGGTTAGCTTATGTAATAACTGATGGACGGATGGTTAGGTTAGCTTATGTAATAAATGATGGACGGATGGTTCGCTTATGTAATAACTGATGGACGGATGGCTAGATTAGCTTATGTAATAAATGATGGACGGATGGTTAGCTCATGTAATAACCGATGGACGGATGGTTAGCTTATGTAATAACTGATGGACGGATGGTTAGGTTAGCTTATGTAATAACTGATGGACGGATGGTTAGGTTAGCTTATGTAATAACTGATGGACGGATGGTTAGGTTAACTTATGTAATAACTGATGGACGGATGGTTAGGTTAGCTTATGTAATAACTGATGGACGGATGGTTAGCTTATGTAATAACTGATGGACGGATGGTTAGCTTATGTAATAACTGATGGACGGATGGTTAGCTTATGTAATAACTGATGGACGGATGGTTAGGTTAGATTATGTAATAAATGATGGACGGATGGTTAGCTTATGTAATAAATGATGGACGGATGGTTAGCTTATGTAATAAATGATGGACGGATGGTTAGGTTAGATTATGTAATAACTGATGGACGGGTGGTTAGCTCATGTAATAACTGATGGACGGATGGCTAGCTCATGTAATAACCGATGGACGGATGGTTAGCTTATGTAATAAATGATGGACGGATGGTTAGCTTATGTAATAAATGATGGACGGATAATTAGGTTAGATTACGTAATAAATGATGGACGGATGGTTAGCTTATGTAATAACTGATGGACGGATGGTTAGCTTATGTAATAAATGATGGACGGATGGTTAGGTTAGCTTATGTAATAACTGATGGACGGATGGTTAGCTTATGTAATAACTGATGGACGGATGGTTAGGTTAGATTATGTAATAAATGATGGACGGATGGTTAGCTTATGTAATAACTGATGGACGGATGGTTAGGTTAGCTTATGTAATAAATGATGGACGGATGGTTAGCTTATGTAATAACTGATGGACGGATGGTTAGGTTAGCTTATGTAATAAATGATGGACGGATGGTTAGCTCATGTAATAACCGATGGACGGATGGTTAGCTTATGTAATAACTGATGGACGGATGGTTAGGTTAGCTTATGTAATAACTGATGGACGGATGGTTAGATTAGCTTATGTAATAACTGATGGACGGATGGTTAGGTGGTTAGCTTATGTAATAACTGATGGACGGATGGTTAGGTTAGCTTATGTAATAACTGATGGACGGATGGTTAGCTTATGTAATAACTGATGGACGGATGGTTAGGTTAGCTTATGTAATAAATGATGGACGGATGGCTAGCTCATGTAATAACCGATGGACGGATGGTTAGCTTATGTAATAACTGATGGACGGATGGTTAAGTTAGCTTATGTAATAACTGATGGACGGATGGTTAGGTTAGCTTATGTAATAAATGATGGACGGATGGTTAGCTTATGATATAACTGATGGACGGATGGTTAGGTTAGCTTATGTAATAAATGATGGACGGATGGTTAGCTCATGTAATAACCGATGGACGGATGGTTAGCTTATGTAATTACTGATGGACGGATGGTTAGGTTAGCTTATGTAATAACTGATGGACGGATGGTTAGGTTAGCTTATGTAATAACTGATGGACGGATGGTTAGGTTAGCTTATGTAATAACTGATGGACGGATGGTTAGGTTAGCTTATGTAATAACTGATGGACGGATGGTTAGCTTATGTAATAACTGATGGACGGATGG